TTATGATCCACAAAATCAAATGCTTTTGCATAGTCAATAAAACACAAGTAAACATCTTTCTGGTATTCTTTGCTTTGAGCCAAGATCCACCTGACATCAGCAATGATATCTCTTGTTCCTGGATCATGGATCCTGCGGCTGCTCACTCTGTCGTCCCCCTGGTTTTTCTTTTCCCCCACTTTCCTGCCTCTTGGGGGTGGGGGCCGGGTCCCTCCCTTTACCTGGATCCCTGCCACTGCTTGCTCTGTAGTCCCCCTGAATCACCTTTACCACAAGCAATTTCTACCTATTACCTAACTAAATTTTCTCTTGCCATTGGTTTTATCATATACATTGTTGTTGTTGTTGTTGTTATGTGCCGTCGAGTCGGACCCGACTCATAGGACCCCTCCTTGGGTTTCTGAGGCAGTGTCACTATGGAAGTAGATTGCCCCATCTTCCTTCCAAGGAGTGATTAGTGGGTTTGAACCACCAGCCTTCTGATTAGCAGTCAAGTGCCTTGGGCACTATGCTACCAGAGCTCCTATCATATACATTAGGGATGCAAATTTTTTTAAAAAAAGGTTATAGTAAATATCTTAGGCTTTGCACAACATACAGTCTCCCTATCTCAACTACTCTGCTCTGCCAGTGTAGTGCAAAAGCAGCCAGAGACAACACATAAATGAATGGGTACGGTTGTGTCCCAACAAAACAGCACTGATCCACAGTAGTTTGCCTACTCCTGACATAAACCATTTTCAATTATGATTCTGTGGAAAAGGAGTATTAAAAATCCGTCCTTTGAAAACTTTAAGACAATCCCCTCCACAACCCTTATATTCTTTTTGCTTCTAAATCTTTTTGAAATTCTTATTTTCTAGAATGTTCCTTGTATTGTCCTCTCCAGTTCTCCTCCACTGTGTTGACTCAAGTTATACCAGATACCTGCCACATAAAAATCAGTCAAGGCTGTGTCTACACATGGCACAGATTATGGGGAAAAAAAAGTCAGAGAGTGAGGTCTTGACAATCTAAAGTTCAATGCAATAGATACTAAGGAGAAGCAACAGAGAAGCCCCCAACCCATTACCTTGTGAGCAGACTGTCCCATGGAAGCTTCAGGACTGTGTGCTGCTCATTTTTCTCTAAGATGCAGTCACACAGGATGGGATCCAACTTCACGAGACTGAAAGGGAAAGAAGAGGCAATAAAGAAATTTTAAGACTCACCTCTTCTGATCCAAGGGCCAACTCAGGGTTCATCTCTTTTTATGTCCTGTATATTTAGGATCAAAATAAATTATGGGACCACAGAGCCTCAAGCAGTAAACCCTATGGATGGGAGGCACAAGTACACTTTCCTAGAAGGAGAAGCAGGTGGTGTAGGGGATGGTGTGATGGGATAAATTAAGAAACCAGCATCCTTGGTTCAGTTCTGCCATGCACGAACCACGTGACCACAGGCAGTTAGTGTTCTCGATTAAGAATTAAGTGTTCCAGAATTCCCATTCTTCTCAATGTTACCCATAATTTGTTATGATCCACAAAAT